ACCATCGGGACGCGTGTGTGTTCACGGAGTGCCTCCTTATGCTCTGGCGTGGCCACAATCGTATATCTTAGCAGCAGGTTGCGATAAACGGCTGACCATGTACGACCCATACGGCAAGCCGGTCAAGATCTTTGATTTCAGCCGGGATTCCCAAGAGAGAGAGATCACTGTCGCCTGCTGTAGTCCAAGTGGCCAGAGCGTCGCTGTAGGCTCCTGGAACAAGGTGCGCATATTCGATTGGTCGCCACGAAGAAGTATCTGGGAAGAGACCAACGTGCGCGACTTGCCCAACTTCTACACTGTCACGGCGCTCTCCTGGAGACGAGATGGTTCGAAGCTAATGGTTGGCGGATTGTGTGGCAGCGTCGAGCAGTTTGAAACTATTCTGAGGTGGCTGAAACTTGGGATTGTTGGATTCTTTACGTTTGAATACTTTTTAAATTTTGTTCTTTTGCATCTTTCTGTCCCTAATGGTTATCATAAAAATCGAGATTATCTTGATATAAAGTTGTATAATTAGTGCATAAATCTTATTTTATTTTATTTGCAGAATAACTTGTTATTGAAGAGTAGACGATCAATCTGATGTCATAAGTGAAAATTATTTGATCGAGATATTTATCGCTATGAATTTCATCTTTTAGACGTACAGTGGTACGCGGTAGTCACGAGGTCACCTACGTGGGTCCTAGCCAGGTAGTGATCCGGCCTTTGAGCGACTCTTCGCAGCGACCTATCGTCATCAGATCGCAGACGGGTCTGGAGATCGAGGACGTGCGTGTCTTAGGACGCAGGGACAACAACGTGATAGCTCGGACGGCACGCACTTTGTTAATCGGCGATATCGAGCTGGGTTTGATCAGCGAGATCCCATGGGAGGATCGATCTGGCGGCGAGAAGTTTTTCTTCGAATATCCGGTTGTATGTTTGATCTTTTGCTCTGGCGAACTGACGATCGTTGAGTACGGCCAAAACGAGGCTCTTGGTTCTGTGAGAACAGAGGCGGTGAATCCGCATGTGGTCAGCGTGCGCGTAAACGAACGACTCTCAGCTGGCGGAGGTGATAACAAGAAGTTGGCCTACTTGCTGGATCCGAGAACTGTTCGCGTGATTGATCTGCTATCCGGTGCGACTATCAGCATGATCGTTCACGATGCCCGCATCGATTGGCTGGAGCTAAGCGAGGCTGGTCATAGACTGCTATCGCGCGACAAGCGAGGTCGTCTTTGGCTTAGCGATGACGAAAATGACAAGTAATTTTATGAAGTAGTAGTACTTATGAAGTTTTTTTGACATCTTCTTATTCTAATCATTCCTTATTTTACGGCATCGCAGAGTCTTGCTGGTGACAGGGGTATCTTTTGCATCTTGGGTGACTGGTAGCGACGTTGTTGTCGCTCAGACAGGCCAAACCTTGGCCATTTGGTACAACGTGGACGCGCCAGAAGCAGTTACGCTCACGTCGATCAAGGGCGACGTGGTAGACATTGTCCGAGAAGATAGTCGAACGTCCGTGATGGTGGAGGAGCACGGCGGTATCAAAGTGGCACATCTGTTGGACGAAGGATTGATCGAGTTCGGCACTGCGTTGCATGACAGTGACTTCGGAAGAGTCATCCTGTTCTTGGAGAACATGGGCGACGGTCCGCAAGTGGAGACCATGTGGGAGAACGTGGCCAGGAACGCAATGAATGAGAGAAAGCTCGATATAGCTGCTAGATGCTACGCTGCGATGGGCGACGTGGCTTGCGCGAAATTTCTGAAGGAGACCGCTGAGGTTTTTTCTTTTATAATTATTAAAATTTAATACCTCTGTCCCTTTTGAAACACAGTAGCATGATTTTGTTTTTTTCTTTCATGTTCCAAGATTGGTGAAAAATACGCTAAAGAGACAGGCAATGAGCCAATGGCCAACCCAGAATGCTGGGCTCGGCTAGCCATACTAAATGGTGATTTGAAAACCGCTGAAGCGATTTATTTGGAGCAGAATGAACTGGACAAAGCATTGGATATGTATCAGCGTTACTGGCGCTGGGAAGATGCCTTAAATTTGGCTGAAAGTCGAAACTGGAGTGGTTTATCAGAATTGCGGGACCGTCACTTAGCTTGGTTGCTGGACACTGGCCAAGCGGCTCGCGCGGCCTCCATCATAGAAACCACGAATCCTAGAAGAGCTGTCAAGCTTTATCTGGAAGCTCGCCGTCCTGGACGAGCTGCCAGATTGATACTTGCCGACAATGAGTTGCTGGAGGATGAAAGAATTGTCGAAGAAGTAATTAGTGGCCTCAAGGCCACTGACCTCACTGAACTCGCTGGAGAACTGTTGGAAAAGACTGGCGCCGGTTCCGAAGCAATCAAATGTTATTCCCAAGCCGGTGTCTTTGCCAGAGCCCTCGACTTAGCACGCAAAATCGACCCCACCTTGGTGGTCGAACTCGAAAGGGATTGGGGAAAACATTTGTCAGAGAATGGTCATTATGACGCCGCTATCAATCACTTTATTGAGGCAGGCGAGACAGTACTAGCATTAAAGGCCGCTATTAATGCGCGACAGTGGAGAAAAGCTTTACAAATTATTCAGGTGCAGTAATAGTAATCTTAAAGCCCATTCTACAATTGCGTAAATGTAGTTGTAAATAGATGTAGTTGTAAGAATTGATCAATCACTGTCGAATATGAGAAGAATATTGAACTGTGATTGGTCAATTCTTACAACTACAATCACTTACAACTACGCTCACGTAATTGTAGAA